GTATTAATTGATTTACTAACCGATAGTGGCACTAGTGCCATGAGTAGCAATCAATGGGCTGGTATTATGCAAGGCGATGAGTCTTATGCAGGCAGTCCAAGCTTTTTCAGATTTGAAAGTGCTGTACAAAATATTACTGGAATGCCTGTTGTAATTCCTACTCACCAAGGTCGAGCAGCAGAAAAAATATTATTTAGCATCACAGGCGGTGCTGGTAAAGTTTTTATTAGCAATACATTGTTTGATACTACACGTGCTAACATAGAACATTCAGGAGCTATAGGAATAGATTTAGTTTGTGAAGAAGGAAAACATCCCAATGTTCCTGCACCATTCAAAGGAAATATGGATGTAGACGCATTGAAAAGAACCATTGATGAACATGGTGTAAAAAACATTGCAATGGTCATTATGACAGTTACGAATAACAGTGGAGGTGGACAACCAGTGAGCATGCAAAATATTCGTGACGTAAAAAAAGTTTGTTTAGAACATAATATTCTATTCTTTATTGATGCATGTCGATTTGCTGAGAATGCATATTTTATTAAAATTAGAGAAGAAGAATTTGCGAATAAATCGATACTAGAAATTGCCAATGAAATGTTTTCGTATGCCGATGGTTGCACTATGAGTGCTAAGAAAGATGCGTTTGCAAACATTGGTGGTTTTTTAGCATTACGAACTGAGGATATTGCCCAAGCTTGTAGAAATTTATTAGTTATAACAGAAGGATTTCCTACTTATGGAGGTTTAGCAGGAAGAGATTTAGAAGCAATTGCTATTGGTTTGTATGAAGTAATGGAAGAAAGCTATTTGCATTATAGAATTACTAGCATGGAATATTTGACAAAGAAATTAATAGATGCTGGAGTGCCTGTTATGCAACCAGCAGGTGGACATGCTGTTTATTTAGATGCTAAAAATTTTTTGTCCCATATTCCTTCACACGAATACCCAGGACAAGCATTAGTTTGTGCATTGTATGTTGAAGGTGGTGTAAGAGGAGTTGAAATCGGTTCTTTCATGTTTGGGAAATATGAGAATGAAGGGAAATTAATTCCTTCGCAATTAGAGTTAGTGCGATTAGCAATTCCTAGAAGAGTTTATACTCAAAGTCATATAGATTATGTTGCTGAAGTTATTATAAATGTTTTCAATAATAAAAATGATATTAAAGGACTTAAAATAATAGAAGAAGCAGAATTACTTCGACACTTTACGGCAAAGCTTGATTTAATCGATGCATAATATTCTTTAACATCTGAAAAATCAAGAACTAAGTATTAAATTGCACCATCTTAAATTAATAGTAGGTAATGAGCGATATAAAAAAGAAAACAGCAACTGTTATTGGATCAGGTTTAGTTGGCTCACTTTGGGCAATTTATTTAAAAAAAGCAGGCTATGAAGTCAATGTTTTTGAACGACGTCCTGATATGCGTTTGCAAAAAATGAGTGCAGGAAAATCTATCAATTTAGCCATGAGTTTTAGAGGTTGGAAGGGATTGGATGATATTGGCGTAGGTGATGAAATTCGTAAAATATCGATTCCTATGTATGGAAGAACCATGCACGGAAAAGATAGTACAACTGCATATCAGCCATATGGAAATGAAGGACAAGCAATTTATTCCGTATCTCGTTGGGATATCAATGCGACATTAATGAGCATTGCAGAAAAAGATGGAGGTGTGAATATTCAATTTAATCAAGAATGTATAAATGTAAATTTAGAACAAGGTTTAGCAACGTTTAAAAACGCACAAACAGGAGAAATTACTGAATCAAAGGCAGATGTAGTTTTTGCAACCGATGGCGCATTTAGTGCAGCACGTTACAATGGCATGCAAAAGTTAGATAGATTCTCTTTTTCTCAAAATTATATCGAAGATGGTTACAGAGAAATATTGCTACCTGCCAACGAAGATGGAACTCATAAATTAGCTACCAACACATTGCATATTTGGCCACGTGGAAACTTTATGTTAATTGCATTGCCAAATTTGGACGGTAGTTTTACATGTACTTTATTTATGCCTTTTAAAGGAGAAAATTCATTTGAAGAATTAGATACTAAAGAAAAATTAGTAAA